AATATTGTACTTATTGGCAAGAAAACTCAATAAAATAATTAATCACTTAATTTTCAAAAAGTTGTAAGACCTAAGTGGAGTTGAGTAAAATCACTTCACATTTTGTCACTACCATGATAAGGATTCATGAGTTGTAAATAAAAAGTCCACTTATATGGGAAACAAAATGATGCCTTATCTTCCCATCATCTACCAATCTCCGTTTTTTAAAACACATCAAACTTACTTAGCCTACCAAAAACTTCTTAATTTCCTACAATCATTTTTACTGCTAAAAGTTGAAACATAAGCTACCCTTCAATGGCTAATTTTGTCTCATTTTCCCCTTTTTGCCCCTCTTGATTTGGGTTTTTCAAGTGGAATTTGAAATTCATTATCAAGCCAGGCAGTTAAATCTTGATGGCATTTGAAAAGTTATGATTTGTAGACCAAAGTTTGTGCTGCTTTAATCCATCTTAATCCTTATTCTCCACTCTCAAGTGTCTGCTGTTAAGGATATATTTGTGGTGGCTGTGTTTACCATTTTTGTTCTAAGCTATGTAATGAAGAAAGAGCTAAAATATTCAAGGACTTAAAATTATTTATTTTGTCACTGAGTTTGTAGCTCAATTGATATATTGATAGAAGCTAGAGTAAATAAATTCACAAAAAATGCTAGCCAACTGACTTTCAATTACATTATATATAGAACACAAATTTCTGCATGGGACGATTGATTCGTCACTTTCTTTTAATAATATTGCATACTTATGCTATAAAATAACATCGTTTTTTACTATACTGTTTTCTAGAGTATGACGTTTCAATTTTAACGTATGCATAGTTATTGAAAAAAAAAGAATATTTGTTTAAAGTAAGTATGATGTTTGTAAGTATAAATATACAATTAATGATTCATATAAAATATTGAACCAATTTGCTCCAATGCTAGGTAATTGATTACATTTATTTTGAGTCATAATAGATGCATGCATGTTATCTTAATGCAAGATGCTATTTATGTAGAGGGATGACTAAGTATCATTTTCTTAAGAAATTATTTCAACAACAGTTTGACCACTAATCCAAATTAATTATGAAAGAGGGGGTTCATTTAGACCATCATTTGATCAAGTGGGAAAATTTTAAAAATATGGTTCTTGCATACTTTCAATGAAATTAACTAATTAAGTCCGGCCATATTGGTAATACCAAGATGATTTATATATTCCCAACATTGAAATTAATATAATGATGGCATGCATAAATATAAATAATTATTTTAAATACTATATAAAATAAGTTATACCATGAATACAAATGGACAAAGGACAATGATTCTTTAACGCCCTTTATGCTTTACAGTGTTGAGAAAAAAATAGCATCCTCGAGTGGCCATTGAGTAAATGCATTATTATGTGTTCTCATTGGTGTTATTTCATTTATTATTTTTAATATTATAATCAGTAGAACACCCACTTTTTTTGCATTTGCACTAAAGAGGATCTATGTATATTGTATCATCTTGATCTTGCTATATCATAGTTTGTCACAATTAGTGAAAGGGAAGTTGGTATTATTAGAGACCAAAAAAGATGATCCTCTTTTGGTGCAAATGCAAAAAAAGTGGGTCTTCTACTGATCATAATATTAAAATAATACCAATGAGAACACATAATAATGTTTACATATATATAATTTCAAAAATAAATAAATAATGGATTTCATTAATAAATATTTTTTTAACATGACTATTATTTTTTCTCGTGCTTATGGCACCTACATTGGATACAGGGCAAAAATGACTCTACTCTCGTGGGCACTGTATTTACGAGATTTTAATTGTCTGATCAACGTACACTCAAACTATTCGCTCGTACACCAATATAACAATGTTTTCTATGGATCTTATAACAATCATCCTAAATAGATCTCTTATTTTAGCTTTTCCCTAGCATGACATGAAGAAATGTGGATTGCTATTCTACACGGTCATTGAGTAAGAATTGGATATGTGCATTTAAATTTGCCCCTTAAGTCAATTATTTGGGCAGGCGTAATAATTGTTTGTCCACTTTGAAATTTTGTTCAAATTGGTCAATGGACAATGGTGGCACATTACTGTTTGGGCAAAAAAAAAAAATTAAATCTTAAAAGGAAATAAAAGGTGACAGATTTATGGTTAAAACCAAAGTAAAAGTTGACATGTTTTCTTGATTTTAATTGCTCATGATTATTTGAAGCAATCTCATCATAAATAGGATAAAAAAATGGGTCTACGCCTCGGGTTCCTTTTGATTACAAGGTATTGTATGTAAGTAATGCAAAGATAGCAAGTTTATTTTTTTTTTATTTTTTTTTATCGGTCAAAGATTAGCAAGTTTATTAATATAATGGATGCAGGACATTCATTCAGTAGTTGAAATTAAAAAGAGAATAACATTTCAAGATATATTGTGTGATATAATATATTTTTTTGGATTTTTTTTTAAATAATAAATAATATGTGTAAAGTATTCATAACTGGGAAAAGGATGGCTAACTGTATGTCATGGTATTTTAACACAGTCTCAGCCGATGTGAATCTAGGCCCTCAACCCATAGTTCCTTGCAACCTTTGATGGGCTGGATTCAAGTTTACACATGGTCCATGTAAGATGGGTCCTTGAGAGTTGAAATGGCCCATGCAAAAATTTATTCCACTACTTCTTTACCATATATCAAGATGCTTGTGCTTGTGACGCAAACCGGCCAATGAACAAAGGTCCGTCGCCATTGGAATTGGGATCACAAAGACCATCTAAACTAAAGGGGAAGATTGACTGCAACATATTATAATCGGTTTCTTGACTTATTTTAATCATTCAAATCCAACTAAAATCAGTTTTTATTTATATCCGATCGCCCCATTTGCATCCTTCCATTTTAAACTCGGGTGGCCCATATAAAATATTTTATTCCATCGACTTTTTTCACCATAGATCACGATGTTTGTAACTTGTGACTCTGACTTGTGATCAAACTTAAACTAATAGATATAGGACGCGAGTTAGAATTGTGATCATGATGTTCATTTAGAATGGTTTGTGTTTCACCAGTTAATATATGGGCCAAACCAGTGAAAGCCTCGGTCAGACAGATCGTGATTCAATCTACTCATAATCGACCAGAACACATTTTTTTTTTTTTTTTTTGTTAATATAACTTGTAAGTACACATGGAGTAAATATTTATGATGAGAGATACAAGATATTAAAATTTTGAAGTATACATTTACACATAAGTTATTTGTTTATCTTACTTTTATAATTTTATGAGAATAAATAAATAATTTATCATATTTTCGAAATTGACCCGAAAGTCAACAACACGCCATTACGACTCCAAAGTCAAAACCCCTCTAAACCCTAATCTGCCTCTCACAAAACAATACATGAAAATATCCCCGACCCCGATCTCCAGTTAAACTCAGGGGAAGAAAAATGGAGGTGGCATCAGCGGCCGACGTTGTAGCTATGGAGGAAGAAAGGGAATTAACCAATCGCGTGATATGTCAGCTGACGGACTCAGAAGGTACTCCTCTGGGAGCGCCTATTTTTCTTCCGGAAAGCGCCGGCCCGAAAGAGCTCCAGCAGCTGGTCAATAAGCTACTCAACAACGTAAGTTCTCGTGCAATCTGATTATCTGAACATAATTTAATGAAGATGGGTTTGCAGAATTTTCGATTTTTCGTGCCAAATTTGGTTCATGTTAGACTTTTAGTTCTTCCACATACTGGGTTAAGTGCTGTTGATTGTTGAATTGTGAGTGTACACTCACACACATGTTGACTGGATTGGATTTGTTTATGGGCCTGATCCATTGCAGGAGGAAAGATTGCCTTATGCATTTTATGTATCAGACAGTGAACTTGTAGTGCAGCTAGGAACATACCTTCAGAAGAATAAAGGTGAGGTCTTTCCATCAAATTCTGCAGCACTATTACAGCAAATGGGTTGCTAAGACTAGGTAATTCTTGTGCAGTGTCTGTGGAGAAAGTTGTGACGATAGTTTACCAGCCCCAAGCAGTATTTAGAATACGGCCGGTAACTCGCTGTTCTTCGACTATAGCTGGTATGAATTTTTTTTTTTTTTTTATGTTGCTTGCATGTACATATGCCAGTCAATTTTCATTATCCCTATATGGTTTTGTATTTTCAGGTCATACAGAGGCAGTGCTTTCTGTAGCGTTTAGTCCAGATGGACGCCAGTTGGCAAGTGGATCAGGCGACACCACTGTACGGTTATGGGACTTAAATACGCAAACTCCATTGTTCACGTGTAAAGGTTATAATCTTGTTCCCCATAGTAGTGTTTAGTGAGAGCTGCGTATTAGTTTTCTCTTTCAAGCATGGGATCAAAATTTTCACATTGTAGTAGTATATTCACGAGACTTATTTGGTTTTGTCCGATTAGCATGCAAGATATCAGAAATAGCACTTAGTCTGTGTTGATTTTGATGGAGATTTATGGTGGAGATAATTCTCTAACTTTGCAGGACACAGAAACTGGGTTCTTTGTATTGCATGGTCGCCAGATGGTAAACATCTTGTTAGTGGAAGCAAGGCTGGAGAACTGATATGCTGGGACCCACAGACTGGCAAACCATCAGGGAACCCTCTTACTGTGAGTTCAAATACATGTTGTTTAACTAGGCTTGGTTCTGTCTTGATTTGATTATTATTTATTGTGCTGGGTTATCTTTGATGACTTATTATCAATTTACCTTAAACGCAATCAATTGTGCTCGGATCAATATGTTCTATCAAGAAAAACTTAGCAAATTATGTTATTTTCTTATTTCTTCGGTCTATTTCTTTTTTTCTTCTATTTGGAAAATCTCATGGAAAAACCAACCAACCACAAGTCCTGCAAGAGTTGAATTTTACTTCATAGTTTTAAAGTAATGCACTTAAATGGAAGCATGAAATATCATTTTCATATTTGAAATTTCAAGAATTGTAAATTTATATATGGAGTTGTCCATTGCAAATGGAGCCGGAAGAGTCATTGTTGACAATTCTCCTGGCATAGTGCTAATAATGGACTAGATTAAAATGGCTCAATTAAATTCTAGTGCTTCTTCTATTAGTAATAGAAGTTTCTAGAAAAAAAATATATATCAAACGGCGCAATGCACCTTGGGTCGCTACGGAAACAACCTCCTTGTATAATTACAAGGGTAAGGTCTGCGTACAACTGACCCCCCATACCCCAACCTGTTGGGAATATACTTGGTATGTTGTTGACTTGTTGTTGTTGTAAATTTATATATGGAGGAAAACTTTTTCATGCTCTAGTGTTTCTCTATACATACATCCCCTGCTATCATTTATTTTGTGCCTATTTTAATTTTCCCAAGACAGTCAATAGTTATCCGTCACTATTATAAATTCGCACATTACCCTCCCACTTTATTCTACAAAAAATAAAATTGTCTATATATGTACATCTTTGAATTCCCTGAAAGACTAGATTTTTACACTATTCATTTCTCAGGGTCACAAGAAATGGGTTACTGGAATTTCATGGGAGCCGGTGCATCTTAGTGCTCCAACCCGCCGCTTTGTTAGTTCAAGTAAAGATGGTGATGCAAGAATATGGGATGTTACTTTGAAAAAATGTGTTATAGTTCTTACAGGACACACACTTGCCATAACATGTGTGAAGTGGGGTGGAGATGGAGTCATATATACAGGGTATGCCTATAATTTTTCTTATGATAAACCTGTTTCCAATGTAATCTCTTGCTCTACTGGTTCAGGGTTTCCGTACAGTTATTCTTGATGTGAAACTTCTAATTTGCTCGGAATTGGGCTAATCTTATCAGGATGACAAATATATTAGTTTTATTTCCAGATACACAAACCAAAACCAGCTTCTAGAAACTCACTGGGTTCTAATTGTGGAAGGACTCATGTGTGGGTCATGTAAACAAGGAAATAAATTTATAGCATTGCTGACTTTGGAGGTCATTGAGGCTATAGAAGGATGAATTTCTATTGCCTGTAACATAAATTTCTGTGATGAAACATCTTATTTGTTTTCCTTACAGATCACAGGATTGTACAATTAAAATGTGGGAAACTTCACAAGGGAAGCTCATACGCGAACTAAAGGTATTCTTCTAACAAGTCAACAATATCTTCTCTGCATCTCTCTGGTTCTGTTCATATTCAGTTTCTCTATTGTTGCTTTTGTTTTATTTCGTATTCCGAATTCTGATTCTCCAAAGCACGCGTGTTTTGTCACTCAACCGTACTCTACATTTTGTGTAGGGCCATGGCCATTGGGTAAATTCTCTAGCATTGAGTACAGAGTATGTTCTTCGAACTGGTGCATATGATCATACCGGCAAAACATATACATCTCCGGAGGAAATGAAGAAGGTGACCAATTGATCTTCAACATCTTCTGTGAGAAGTTATTCACAGATATATTTTTGCTTTTCTTCACTTAACATTAAGCTGTGTATTAACTATTAATGTGTATCTATTTCAACATACTGCCTGTTTAGACAAGTTGATTTTATTGCAACAGTTGTTGGAGAATAAGTTAAATAAGATAATTGAAGTGCAATTACCTTATTAATTTTGCACCTTAGGCTATATTTATTGTTTACATTTTTTATATCAGGTTTGTTCTTCAGCAACTCTTTTAAATGCCTCTCTTTTTTTTTCTACCAGGTAGCATTAGAAAGGTACAACAAGATGAAAGGCAGTGCCCCTGAAAGGTTGGTTTCAGGTTCAGATGATTTCACCATGTTCCTGTGGGAGCCTGCTGTCAGTAAGCACCCCAAAACTCGTATGACTGGCCATCAACAGGTATTAGCAAGTGTTCTTTTGAAAAAATAAATAAGCCTTTATGCATGCAAACAAAGAATACCTCTCCATGTTCATGTTCCTAATCCTAGATTGATTTATTTATTTTTTTTTTTTCTGAAGCTTGTAAATCATGTCTACTTCTCTCCGGACGGTTTGTGGGTCGCGAGTGCCTCCTTTGACAAGTCGGTTAAATTATGGAACGGAGTCACTGGAAAATTCGTGGCTNATTGAACGCTTAAAATGCCATCTCGGACAGATTTACCTCAAAAACTGTTACTCAAGTGACCTTTTTAAACAGGTGTGGGATATTCGTACTCAGAAGTTGAAGCAAGATCTTCCGGGGCATGCAGATGAAGTAAGGCCTCCAACACCCAAACCCAATGAGAAAAACTTGTTTGGGTTTTTGAGAGAAAAATTGATACTGCCCACAAGGGCAAAATCGAAATTTCCGGTTCGTTTTTTCCCATTTCTTTTTTCACATATTCATATCCCAATTTGTTCTGTGTCTTTAGGTATTTGCAGTAGATTGGAGTCCTGATGGTGAGAAAGTTGCATCTGGAGGCAAGGATAAAGTTTTGAAGTTATGGATGGGATAAGGAAATCTTGGTCACTTGAATGGCTTTGTGCACAGCTTACATTTATATCAAATTTTTGCGGTGATGGAAATGTGCCATGTAATATGAAATATTGTTTATTTATTATCATTACTAGTGGTGGAGAACTTAAATAATCAAAAGTATTATTGGGTTTTTTCAGCTAANCGATATATGAAGAAGCTGTGAGCAAAAACGATGTCGTTGAGTCGCAGCAAAACGACGCCGTATCTATTATTGAAAAACGCGAACAAAAGAAAAGAAAAGCCAAAAAACTAAAACACGACTAAGACAGACAAAAAGGAAAAAATGAAATGCATCTGCATGAAGAAAAAACTTCAAACTCCAATAATGTATCACACATAACAGCCAGTTACAACCGAATCAAACAAACGCATCCCAATCTACTACGATAGTCTCACAAGTGGAAAATCTAAACAATGAGAAATGCATTTGACACCTGCATAGGTTAAAAGATCGAATGTGTAGTACATTTCTTATTTTGTATAGTATCTCGAGCACATCACAACACACAAAACTTCATTTCAACTGGCCACAGGACACCCACCACAACCATTATAATCCAACAATTCCCACCTCAAAACTCCTTCAAATGTCAGAAAAATTACAAACATGATTATTTATGGAAATTTTTTAAAAAAATTTCAACATTTTAACCATTTTTTTTAACGCAACCTCACTATCATCAATATTATTAATATAATTAAACAATATTAATCAATCATTCATACACACCACATCAACCTCACTATTCATCCACTCACATTATTTTAACTAACCATCACTTCAATCATTTCTCTCCTACTTTTACATCAAATCAATTTTAATTATTTTATTTTAAATATTATTTTAATATACCCACTAACAACTAATCATACCACTTTTTTCAAAATTAACCAAATAACCAAAAAATCTAAACAAAACTAAAAATTTCCATAAACAAACATACATTTCCCACATCCCACATCGACTAAAAATTTCCATAAACAAACATACATTTCCCACATCCCACATCGAATTCGAACAATTACAGAACTCAGAGAAGAAAACAGCCAACAAACCACAGACTTCATTTCCTCCAAACCAAAAGGAAACGTTCGCATCACATACAATTCTTCAAAGAATCCCCAGCACCCTGGAAAAAACAGCACGACAGCACGAAATCCGCAATGAAAATCCCGACCAACGACACCACCACAGCCGAAGTAGTCGACTCCCCCACACCCTTCGCTCCACCCATAGTCGTCACACCCCACGCGCAGCTCACCACCGATATAATCCCACCAAAAACCCCCGACTTTAACATGGAGCTTACAATGTCCCACGACCTCAATGCCCGTCTAGCCGAATTAAATATTATATTAATACTCACCCCATAAACCCCATCCGCCAATATCCCACTCGACACCATACCCACCACAAAACACATGAGTGTCAAAATCGGGAGAGCCACACACGAAGCTAAAACCCGTGGAGTCACCAGATAGTCCACAGGGTCCGAACCCAAAACCCTAAGTGTGTCCGTCTGCTCGGAAACTTGCATAGTCCCAAGCTCGGCTGCAAAGGCGCTCCCGATTCTGCCCGCGACCACAATAGAAGTGACGACTGGGCTTAGCTCCCGAGAAAAAGCGAGGGCCAAAACTCCGCCTACAGATCGGTTGAGGCCGAGTCGAGTGAACTCGCGCACGAATTGGATTGTAAAAGCCATGCCGACAAATGCGGAGGTTAAGAGGCAGACACTGACGGATCTCGGGCCCACGCGTGCCAGCTGTTGGAGGGTGTTTTTCCAGTGGATTTTGCCGTTGAGAGATCGAGTGACGACTTGGCCAGCGAGGATGAGGATGGAGAGGGCACGCCAGAGGTATCTGGGTGGGGCCCAGTTTGAGAAGAGTGCGTTTGGTCTGTCGTTTGGTGGTTGTTCTTCTTCTGGGATGGAGGAGGTGATCGGGTTGCCGTCGCTGGTGGTTAGGGCAGCAGCAACGGGTGAGGGCTTTTGGAGAGGAGAGAGGAGGCCGTGGTGGAGCTTGGTTCGTTCGAGGAAATCGAGTTTTCTGGCGAGGTGACTCAGGTGCAAAGATGTGGTTTTTGATGGGGGAGGTGAACTGAATGGGCGAATCCTGAAAAATTTTCAAAGATGAGTTAATTAAAAAACATGAATTGTCTACATAGCCTAAGAAGAAATGATTTTTTATTTTTTATTTTTTAGAAAGTTGGTTGTATTGTGTAAGTGTTTGCAAGTGCAAAGAGAGGAAAAGGGGAACGAGACCTGTGACAGGAGTGAACGATGGGACGAATCTGAGCAGCTGCTAGCATGTTTGCTCTGACTTGATTAATTTGCACAGGAAAGGTAGTCCTTTGTCGCTAGATATAATATATTCGATGGGTTGCCAAATGTGCTGAGATATATGCTAAAATGTAAACCCGATGTAGCGAACTCATGCTACCGAATTACAGTGCTCTCGTTTATCAAGAGCTGGTGAGTATGACATTATCTCTTGAAAGGCTAAAATCTCAACCTTAAACCTGCTTCAAAAAACTTTAACAAATACATATAAGTGGTTAGCTAATATCTGGGCTATATCAAATAGAATATCAAAAACTTTAAGAAGTGAAAAACATATGACAAATTCCAGATATCAATCCAGGATCAAAGCACCAAGTTACTGCAGCACTTTTTCCTTAATGTATTAGGTACAACTCATTTCCATGAACAAATAACTATGACTTGGACAAGAGAAATATGACAGAATATGGATGAAACAATGAGCTTAAGAAACACCAGCTCTTCTTTTCCTTTTTTTTTTTTTCTTTTAAAGATGCCCTCCTAAGAATATTATCCATCATCTATACATAAACTTCACCTATTTCGCAGATGTGATGTAATTTCTCAGGAATCATAAGTGATCAATCATGGCTAAATTTATCGGCAATAAAGACTTGGTCTCTGAGCACACACTACAGAAAATTAAGACTTGGTCTCTGAGCACACACTACAGAAAAGTTTTCAAGCGATTAATTGGATGAACAAATCCAATACGAGACCGTAGCTGAGTCAATGTACCTGACGAGTGACGAGTTGATGCTGCGGATTGAGCGAGTGCCGAGTTCGTCGACAGCTTGAGCGCGCCTGATCGGTAGCCGGAGGTTGTTGGGCGGTGATGATAAGGCGCTTCCTTTAGTGGTGGCCGGTGAAAGCTTGAGTGGTCGCCGTAGGTAGAGAGAGTTTAGGGTTTCATTTTCATTCCCAACTGAGAAAACGTCTGAATTTCAGTTAGTAGCAGTTGAATCACCCAGCATCAAACAGCTATAAAAAATTAATAAAATTGCAGGAAAAATCTTTGTGTGGTGGCGTTGTTCGTGTTTGTTGGTGATAGCAGACGCAGAGAAGAAGTAATGGGTTCAAATCGACATCAAATAAACAATTCAGGTTGATTTTCGGGTCGGGTCAAAAAGTCCTTTCACAGGCCCAAAATGCCTTTTTACAGGCCCGTCCACAGGCCTACCGCATTGATTAGAGCTGAAAAACGAAACAAGCGAGTTATTAATGCTTTGGAATAGAACTTTTTAGGTAACTTTTAAATTTTATATTTGTTTGGCTCGCTAATATTCAAATCTCGACATGTTGATATAAATAAATGAGTAGAACTCAAACTTTTTTATCGGCTCGATTAGTTAATGAATTGAGTTGAAGTCGTTTATTAACTCATTTAATTAACAAATTGGACAGTGCTTACAAAGTGTGATTTTTTTTTTTTTAACTTTTAACTTAACTTGTTAAAATCAATAAATGAGGCAGACTCAACTCGATTAGCAAACGAGCCGAGATGACAAAAGCACATACAGTTTGAGTATCTTAAGCTTAATTTTAAATTGACTTGCTTACACTTTAGTTTTGACAGCCCTAGTGAAAGTAATCACATGTAATCGCATGTTTTTGTTTTACTGTAGAACTAGTAGGGGTGTTCATCGGTCGGTTCGGTCGACCGACCGAACCGAACTACAAAAACCGAATTAACCGAAATCTTAAATTTTCGAAACCGAACCGACCGAATTAAGTGCCTAAACCGAAGTTTAACCGAACCGAATTGTTCGGTCGGTTCGGTCGGTTAACCGAATTTTTACAAAAAAAATTTATACAAAAAGTAACACATAAAAAAATCTCAATTCTCACAAGTCACAATTCACAAAATCAGAAAGATACACCAACTCAATGATAAAAACCCAGAAATTTTGAACCTTCCCGTTGTGATACGCCAATCCGGCAGGGTCTCCGGTTATTTTTGGGATGGGAAAGAGCTAAAGTTAGTCTCTGTTGAATCAAAAATTCTCAATTCTCACAAGGAGAACATACAGGCTCACTAGTAACAACGACGACGGAGGAGCAGCGAAGACAGAGCTCCTTGACCGGATCAAAGACCGAACTCCTTGGCCGGTGAGGCGGTGGCCACGATCCACGAGCAGCGATCGACGGAGGACTGGTGAGCGACGGAGGAGTAGTGGCGGGGTGTAGCCGTGTAGGGGCGGAAGATTTGGGGACAGCAGGGAGGATTTGAGGACAGCGGGGAGTACAGAGAAGAGAAATGAGAAGAGAACGAGAACAGAGAGCGATTAGGGACTAGGGTTATTGACTTATTGTTAATATATGTATTAAAATATTAATATATAATATATAATATATAATATATAATATGTATATATATATTATTCGGTCGGTTCGGTTTTTTCGGACATTTTATGTCCGAAACCGACACCGACCGAAAAAACTGAAAATTTACATATTGAAAACCGACTACCGACCGAGTCGAACAAAAAACCGAACCGAAATGGTCGGTTCGGTCGGTTTCGGTCGGTTCGGTCGATTTCAGTCAAAATCTGCACACCCCTAAGTACAATACCCGTGTACTACACTGGTACTTAAATATATTAATATTTGTATAATAAAAAAATAAAATAATTTATATTTTTATTGTGAAATTATGTATGATGAAATATGAAACAATAATAAATAACTAACAAAGTGACAATTAATTCAAATGGTGCCCGTATTTTTATACTAAATTTATCAAAAAAGATATTTTTAAATTATACATGTGTAGAAATGATATTATTTAGAACTCCATACATTTGATTTGTTTTTTAAACAAAATAAGTTTTATTGTATTGTGATTATATTTCTTATCTATAGATCCAGTGTCTCACGCCTATCAAAATTTTAATTATTTAAATTCATATAATTAATAATTCAGAATTTAGGTAGAAATGTATTATTTTTTAACTTTATGAAATATAAAATTATTTTATTATATTTAATTATGATATGCTTGTATATTTACTATTTCAATTAACATAATAACGTTCATTTTTTCATATACTTTTATTTTTAAATTGAGAATAATATTTTATAATATTTCTTAAAATCTATTTTATGTAATACTTAATTTTTTATTTTTTTCAAAAATTTATAGAAAAATAATAAAATTATTATTTTATGGTATAAGAACTAACATATGAATTAAATAAAAAAAGTAAAAGTAGTATATGGTAACTTAAGAAAAATGGAAAAAGCTAAAATAGTTTATGGTAATTTTCAAGCTTAATGGTCAAAACCAAACTTGAACACGAGCCAATACGAAGCACCAAATTATGTCAAATAAGCTTACGAAGCACAAGAACATGTCACTTAAGCTCAGTGCATTCGAGAATTATATATAAAGTCGATATACAGGGGCAATATTATATTTTTCAAACTTCATGAGTAATTATTTAAAATTTTCCATGTGCCATTTTTTGGCATTTCATTTTTAAAATTACTCCATTGTGTTTGTCGATTATTTTGTAATTACAATTAAAAATAAATAAAAAATCATAAATTTACACCATGATCTAATTTGGCACTATCTGCCACATATTCAACTTTAACATAAAATGAAAAATGGAAATTCAAACTCATCAAGTCAAAAAATAGGAAATATCAGCATAATTGTTAAGTTCATTAATAAACATAATAAGTTTCATCAAGAATTTGGGCAGCTACTGCATATCTAATTCACTCTTGCTGTGACATGAAATTTTACAATTAGAATATGTGTTTCTTGTTCAAATTTGAATGCATAATAAGATATCAAAACTACTTTATTTAAGTTGAAAAAATAAATGGGATGATGCATGTTCTTATATATAAACAACTCTTCAACAACATACATATGAACCAGAAAAAAAAAATAATAATAATTTTTCATCCTTTTCCTTCAAATTGGATAGAAGTAGTTTCTCCATAGAATCATTCAAATTACATTGCAACAACTTCCTCTACCAACACCAATTGTTTTCTTTAGCTTGTCAAGGATGATGCATTAGCTCCCAAACACAAAGGAACCGAGTTTCACCTTCGACTAATGCCAAAAACACGGGTTGGTTTGTACATAAGCTGCTGAAGAAAACTTAGTATCTACAAATCCCGAGCTTTATAGTATTTACTCGGGCTCTCTTGACTTCTCTCACTTGGCCTCGGATAGCCTTGTGCGTATAACCTCAGGACTCGAGCTTTTGTTAACACTGCAAAAGAGATTAGTAAGGACAACAAATGTGAGAGATTATATGAATTCCACCACAAAGAACCAACTTACCATATGAGGAGATCCCCACTCATTATCGACTTCTCGTATATCCACTCAGGAACAAGTTCTTTTAGCAATGTAAGTTGCTCCTCGACTTCATCTGTTGTAATTTCATAACAGGATCAAAAGTGACACTTTGCAAAATACAGATAATGCTCGATTTTTAATGTTTTTTATTAAGGACAAGGCTTACTTCTGTCAGTGACATTCAAATCACCAGTTATGATTTTCTGGATCAGCTCCTCTTTAGTGACCACCGAACGTCCCATTGATTGAAACAAGTAGTAGATAGTGTCGAACCTCTTTGGCAGGCCTGCTATCATTTTCTGCCTCAGTTTTGCTCGAGAGATTGCCGGGTCCCGTTCAATTGCTGCTAGCCTCTCCTTCTCACGTATCTAAAAGAATGTAAACAATATAACTCTAAATTTCGATATATGGGTTCAGCCTAATTCCAAAAACTCCCATTAATGGTTAAAAATAAAAACTTGTAATTAACCAAAAAAAATTAAAAATATGTACCGATTGTATGAGAGCGTCTGGAAGAATGTCCAAGACATCATCAGCACCACCAGTTGACCGACTTTCGCTTATATCAAGCTCAAAATCTAACTTTGAATTCTTTACAGGGGTGTCGAATTTCAAAGGCCTGTTTGGGGGTGGCCGTTTAACGAGTTTGCTTGGTGATCTATATGAACTATTATCATCAGGGCTCATGTGACTCCTCTTAGGTGGACGAAGGGCAGGTGTGGCACTCATCAGCTCAGCAGGAGTCGATTTGATGCCAGCTGGCGTATTTAGTATGGAGCTTTGGCCATAATTATCAACAGAATTTACACATTTGACCGGTGTTTGAGTATGTGTAAGGTTGTGGGGTAATTTGGAAGGAGAATTTGAATAATTTGGAATAGATTGTTTTTCGGAGGGTCTCGTGGGAGTTTTTTCTTCCGAAACCACTGGTTGGTCTCGCTTGGGGTATTCTATGCTATGGGAAGAAGCCTTTTGTGCGAACCGAGGTTTAAAAGATGGAGAGAGATGAGATGATGGGAATGATTGTCTTCCAAAGAGTGGTGTTTCGGTTATCGAATTTGAAGTTGAGGACTGTACAGAATTTGCACTTGCATTTTTCTTGAGTCGACTAAAAGGTTCTGGAAGAGGTTCCTCTGGTACTTCTTCAGCCTGATTAAGATATGCGGATTTTTCAGTAGCTTATCGATTTGAATGGGACAGAAGCAAATGAAAGTCGAAGGAAAAAATAGCTGTCACTTAGGATGTATGAACATTATCTATACAACATTCTTGGCAAACAAAAGTGAACTAACGCTTCAAGTTCACTGGAAAACAGATTAAATTAATGGAAAACTGAAGAGATGAACACAGTAACAAAGAGAGATACAAATACTTCTAGTTAAATTTATTTATTTCATGGAGTTCCACCATGCCATCATCAACCAACAATATGAATAGACAATTAAGCTTCCCAAAACCAGATTAAGCTCTATTCATTTATATATGAAACTGAAAGTCATACATCCAATTTCTGTCTCAAACAATGCAAGAAACTCTTAAAAATTATCTTCTCAGTAGAATTATCAAAAATTTATACCTCTGGATGTGATTTGAAAAATTTCAGAAGCCGGTCACGGAAAACCTTCCTCAACCGCAGATTGCCACCAAGAGATTGAGAATTGCTCTTGCTTTTCACTGCTTCATTCAATGTGACGCGAAGGTCAGGCCTCATGCAGCTCGTGCGCTCATCATGCCGCATAACTTTTTCTACCATAATCTCCTCGGGCATGATGAACTTCAATTGGGCTAAATGGTTATATGTGAACCTCCTGATGAAGTACAAGGGAATAACATTAGCTGAAAATTCAAAACTATGAAAAGGAAAAAAACACATTAAAGACATTTATGTAAGGAATCGAAGGACAAGACAGAGACAGAGTCTGATTCAAAAAATACCTGTCGGTTAAACTCTCTACTTGGGGACTAATGTTAGCAAATACTGGTGCAGATCCTTTCAACCGAAGTAGTCTGATTGAGCTATCCAAGCTGTTGAAGAATTTATCTAACAACTCATACCTGAAGCATAACATTAAGTCTAAAGATTATTAATAACGAATGGAAACTAAATATTCAAAGAAGACAATGAACAGTATCTTTATGGATAGGTAGTGATAGGATCTCGGGAGGTTATTAAAAACGAATATGGTGCAGGAATTAACTAGAAACTCAAATCCATAAGTCTAAAGAAGGCTATTGTATTTTTCTCAAAATCAAACACAATGGACGCAATGCAATGAATACTGGGATTCAAGATGCAGTCTTTTTCTTTTCCTGACTAGCCCATTGAAGAAAATTTAAATAAAATCATTTTTGTTAACAACAAAGATAGGAACTCAACAGCTTCCATCAAAAACTACATTCAAAACACCAAAATAACAAATTTATACGCATCCTTCAAATAAAAAAAACACCAGATGCCCTGAAGAACTCGAGAAACATAAACATGAGCAGACGCTTGGATGCTCAAACAAATCTACACAACAACAAAAACAATACAAAACACTTACTACAGACAGCATTCATAAATCTACTCACTTCTCGGGAAGCTTTATCTCGGATCCAGAAGGCTTCTTCAACTTAGCAACGGACTCGACTTTGGATTCAACCACGGGTTCCATCGGTTCTGGCGGGTCGGATCTGCGTCCCCGTAGTTTCATCGCCGCCTCCCTGATTTCCTTGATCGACATCGCCGCACGGCGGTTGCACAGCCGCCTTGGGGGGTCCGCCGGCTTGCTGGGCGTCTTCACTCCCCATGGATTCGGGTCGGATTCAGGAACTTTCCGCGCCTTCTTATCCAACGGGGCGGGTGAATGTGGCTGCTTCTTCGACCTGAGTGAGGCGGGCGGCGGCGATTTAGCGGCGTCCATATCTGCACGGTACGGCACTGTCAGACGCGCGCCTGAATGTAGGGTTTTTATAGCATTGCTCTTTTTGGCGGGGAAAACTGACATGGCGGGGAGTTCGCGCCATTTTTTCTCGCGGGGAAATCAGAAGGGTATTTATGTCATTTAAATGTATGGGTCCTTTTATGGGAAGGGTTAATTCTTGGATCTGTTAGTTGATCATAAAATTGGCTCTCAGCTGAGCCCATCTATATATATACACAGGGTATACAAAGAAAAGCCAAAATTAATAAAAAATAATAAAAAGAATTTGCTCAAGCAAAGGTGTCACCGGATAGCCAGTGAAGTCATCAATAAAGTTCGCCTATTAGGCATAACAGCTCCATACTTGCTGTTTTATGACTGTGCTTCTGTTTCTTCCATTGGTTTTTCTATATAGTTTTTGTCTAGTGTGATTAAATATCTGGGTTTTGGACAATGCTTTGCTTTTCCCGGTCCTTTCCATTGGGAGGATTTTGAAATTCTTGCTTTGGTATCGAATGGGAAGTGAGATTAGCAGTTAACAGTAAAAAAAAAAAAGTTGATTTAGCATGAAAATTTTGTTTCTAGGGTACCCTTTCCAATTAAAGACACGATCTTTATATTTAAGACTGTTCTTGTTGTTCTTATAGACCTTAGTTTCACCATGTTCAAGAGCATTTGAGGTAATTTGGTTCAGTTTTGGGGTTTTCCAGCAGATCAAGCCACCTTAGTTTCAACGTTTGTACGAATAATGTTCAGTGGGCAAAAAGGCGTTCATGCTCTCAATGTGTTCACGTGAAAATGGCGTAGAACAACACATCTGACCATCTGTCGGTTGACTCGGTTCTACTACAACAGGTAATGCTTGATGATGATTATTGGTGTTCAATAAAGTTGGAACTGTATAAAATTTCCTCAAGTTCGAAAAAGAAGGCGAGGATCCTGAAAAAGGTTCTTTCTTTCGCTCAAAGGCCTCTGAGAATCTTTGACGACAGTAATAATATTAGTAGTTATAGTGACTCGTGCAATATGTTGTCTCTACCGATTGCAATGACTCTCCAGTAATTAGTTTTTTGTGGTTTTGAGTTTCT